TTAGGGTTTAGGGCTAGGTTTACTCCTCAAAAACCGGAGCCCTCACCATTCAAGCCGGCAAGGCCTGATCCTACCGCTGCCACTTGGCAAAGGCTATGCACCCCCACCCTAAACCCCAAGCCCTAAACCCCAAACCCTAAACCCTAAACCCTAAACCCCAAGCCCTAAACCCCAAGCCCTAAACCCCAAGCCCTAAACCCCAAGCCCTAAAGCCCAAACCCCAAGCCCTAAACCCCAAACCCTAAACCCTAAACCCAAAGCCCTAAACCCCAAACCCTAAACCCCAGCCCTAGACCCTCTCAAGCCTGAGAACGAAACCTGGGCCACGAAGCCCTAAACCCACACCCAGGGCCTATGCAATGAAGCCCCCCCAAAACCAGGGGCTTTGGTTTTAGCATTCAGGGGTTCAGGGCTTCAGGGTCTTAGGGTTTTTAGGCTTGAGAGTTTCAGGGCCTTCGGGGTTTAGGGTTTGGGGCTTGAATTCCCTAACCCTAAACCCTAGCCCGAAAATTTCAGGTTTTCCTTGTTGTCGGCAGGTTTGTCCTGTTGGAGGCCAAGGGCAGGGTCGGGGCTGAGAAGGGAGCCAGGGTTTTAGGGTTAGGGTTTGGGTTTCTTGGAGGGCCTCTTAAAAATGCTTCTGTTCATCTTCGCCACAAGCGCGGGAGAACAACCCAATCAACCTAAAGTTGGAGCCGATGTGGCAATTTGACATCAATCTGCACGCCCGACTCTCTTCGTTATGCACCTTATGTGAGAAACCCCAAGCCCTAGCCACCCACCTAACTCCTGTCATCCCAGGACGCTGGCGACCATCGTCTCCAACGTATGTGCAAACAGCTGCTGGGCTCAACCTAAACCCGAAACCCGAAACCCTAAACCCTAAACCCTAAACCGTGTGCTGCTGGGCAGAGTTCGAGCCAGGGATTCCGCAAGGGTCCGATGTAGATGCAGCCCTAGATCCGTATAGCACTCTGATGGAAGCAGTTTTCCTACAGTAGGTAACCTTTAACCTTTTTGAGGTAGTATCATCCCCTTATAATCCCAAAGGTTAACCTTGAATTCCCCCAGGTTCCTGGACAACTAGGTTTTTACATCACCACTTTGGAATCGCTTCAACGATGCTGTGCGTGGATTCCCCAAATTTGTGCTCCATGAGTTGGTCCAGCAAAGAGGGTTTAGGGTTTAGGGTTTAGGGATTAGGGTTTAGGGTTTAGGGTTTAGGGTTTAGGGTTTAGGTTTAGGGTCCAGGGTTTACGAGGCCTCGCCCGCGAGGCGCACATTGGGAGGGGTGGAGTCGCCACTGCAAGCTGGCCCACCCTCTCCCCTCAGAACCCGTTAAAGGTCTAGGGTTTAGGGTTTGGGGTTTAGGGTTTGGGGTTTGGGGTTTAAGGTTTATAGGGTTTAGGGTTTAGGGTGAGGCTTGCACATCCACCGATCGGGCAAGATTGCCGTTCGAGTAGAAGCTGCAGTTACCTACTTTCCCTAAACCCGAAACCCTAAACCCTAAACCCTAAACCCTAAACCCTAAATCCTAAACCCTAAGCCCTAAACCCAATCGGAGCTGCCGATGGACCTTTCAGCCCTTCAAAGATCAGCCCTAAACCCTAAACCCTAAACCCTAAACCCTAAACCCTAAACCCTAAACAATCTCGCAGGGATCGGGCCGTCCATCTTCGACTCAATTCTGCTGATGAAGAAGATCCCGGCCGGGGCCTCTGACTACAAACCTTTTAGGGTTTAGGGTTTAGGGTTTAGGGTTTAGGGTTTAGGGTTTAGGGTTTAGGGTTTAGGGTTTAGGGTTTAGGGACCCTACATCCTAAACCCCCCCCTAAGCCCTAAGCACGAACCACCTTGCCTCAGAGCCTCTCAATGCATCGGGACTGGGGTGCGTTGGGCCTTGAGCGGCTGGAGGGTTTAGGGTTGAGGGTTCAGGCTTCAGGGTTTAGGGTTTAGGGTTTAGGTTTAGGGCTCAGGGGTTTTCATTCGGGCCGATGGTCCCCCTAAACCCGAAACCCTCAACCTGCAACCCTAAATCCTGAATCCTAAACCCCTCTTACATATCCTGCACAACTGAACTCTTTCGGAGGACTGCAGGGGAGGCTTGAAACTGCTGCGCAGGCAGCTCGCCAAAGTATGGATACGTAGATGAGCCCTAACGAACCCTACTTACGAAAGAAGTTGTGCTTTTTTGGATGAAGCCCTGAACCCTTAAACCCTACAAACCCTAAAAACCCTGAAGCAACCCAAAAGCCCTAAAAGCCCTAACATAAACCCAAAAAGCCCTAAAACCCCTAAACTGATTTCTGGATCCCCCTGTCTTTAGGGTTCATCTGGCGCCCCGAGGTTCTTGGGTTATATCGAGCACCCCCATGGGCCTAGGGTTTAGGGTTTATATAGGGTTTAGGGTTTAGGGCTTCAGGGTTTAGGGTTTAGGGCTTGGGGGGGCTCATGCTTTAATGGTTTAGGCTTGCGGGCCCAGGGGCTCATGGCTGAAGGTTCTCGGGCCAAATTCACGGGTATCGTAGCTAAGGGTTGCTGCTAAAGACACTTTTATAATCCTTTGGTTGCCGCCCCCCCCCCCCCCCGGTAATTGGTACCCCTAAACCCTAGCCCTAAACCCTAAACCCGAAACCACGTATCTAAGGCCATGCCCACCCTTCGAGCGATTCAGAAGACGCTTCACCCGGTCCGGAATGCGGCTTGGTCGGAGGATGGGTCATATTGGAGAGTTGTGGGATGCTCCGGAACTCAGCTTTGTCAAGGACCCGCGCATGCCTTGCATTCTTTACATTTTTGGGCTGTACCCTGAAAACTTCGACCCCCAATTCACAAGCTTACGACAGCGGCCATAGCCCCCGAATCCCGGGATCCTGATGACCACGAAAACTAATGTGCTTTCTGCGCCTGCGATATCAGCAGCTGTTCAGCAGATTACCTAGGTTCTTCCTTGAGCTGCCCTTTTGCCGGTATCATGCCTTCCACCGCCACCAACGTTGCCATGGCCGGCGTCGGTGCCTTCGCGGCAGCGGGTGCCTTGAGCGGTGCCTTCGTGGCGCCTGCGGGCCAGGTCCAGCGCAGTGAGCCCCAGACGCAGAGGACCAACCTCCGCGCGGCAGGCTATGGCTCTTCTCAGGCTGCCGGTGTCGGCGCCATGGCCGGCCTCGGTGCCGTGGCTGGCCTGGCCGCCGCAGGAGTGGCTGGCAAGCGCGCCAGCAAGGGACGCACCTCCCTCCAGGCCGTGGGCGTGGGCATCAACGGCTTCGGCCGCATCGGCCGCCAGGTGGCCCGCATCGCCATGAAGGATCCGGAGACCGACTTGAAGTTGATTAATGCAAGCTATGACGCAGACTACTTGGCCTACATGATGAAGTACGATACGATTCATGGCAAGTATGATGGAACTGTCGAGGTCGATGGCGACTCCCTGGTCATTGACGGGCAGACGGTGGCACTGTCGCACACCCGTGACCCTGCAGAGATTCCCTTCAAGGAGCATGGTGCAGAGTACGTGTGCGAGTCCACGGGCGTGTTCCTGACCACCGACAAGGTGCAGCCCCACTTGAAGGCCGGTGCCAAGAAGGTGATCTTCTCCGCCCCCGCCAAGGACGACTCGCACACCATCGTCATGGGCGTGAACGAGGACACCTATGATCCATCCATGGAGTGCGTGTCCTGTGCTTCCTGCACCACCAACGGCCTGGCCCCAGCAGTCCGCGTCCTGCAAGAGAAGTTCGGCATCAAGCGCGGCCTCATGACCACCTGCCACGCCATGACCGCCTCGCAGCCCACCGTGGATGGCACCTCCAAGAAGGACTGGCGTGGGGGACGTGCCGGCCCGGGCAACATCATTCCCAGCTCCACTGGTGCCGCGAAGGCAGTGGCAAAGGTCCTTCCGGCTGTGAAGGGCAAGCTTACCGGCATGGCTTTGCGCGTGCCGACCATCGACGTGTCCGTGGTGGACCTCACGTGCGAGCTGGAGAAGGAGACCACCTACGAGGAGATCTGCGCCGAGATGAAGAAGCGCTCCGAGGGCGACATGAAGGGCTACCTGGGCTACACCGACGAGGCCCTGGTGTCCACGGACTTCGAGACCAACCCGATCTCTTGCACTTTCGACTCCAAGGCTGGCATCATGCTGGACCCCACCTTCGTCAAGGTGGTTTGCTGGTACCTGGGGTTCATTATGAATCAGGCAGAAGTTTGGTGAAGGTCTGCGGGCCTTAATCCTTGTATAACCCCATATAGCCCCTTTTTCTGAAATTTGAGTTTGTATATGAGGCCCACATGTATAAGGTACGACAACGAGTGGGGCTACTCCTGCCGCGTCGTGGACCTGATCAAGCACATGGCCAAGGAGGATGCCAAGGCGTAAGCTGCCCATCCGAAGCTGCAACTGTTTAAGCTCATAAACCTGAACCTGAATTCAAGCCCACTAAACCCTAAACCCTGAACCCTCAACCCTCAACCCTAAACCCTAAACCCTAAATTGTAGCACAGATGCTCCCGGTTGATGAAATCAACCTTTCTTGATGTCTCCAAGCTCATTTTTCCCCCCGCGCCGCCAACCAACGCGACTTGCCTTGCTTGGCAAAACACGTCCGGAGCTGCATTCAGAAGGAATTAGGAGGGTGTTCGGAAGAGGGGCATAAGGCCCTCTTTGGGGAATGTTTCGGAGCTACACGTAAGCACACGCGCTCTTGAGTGACTTTGGCAGGAGGCCTGGGGGCAAGAACAGTGCAGAGTGTTGCATGAAGAAGGTGCCGTCCTCGGAAGTAAGTGGGCTGCCGTGTCTTTGCCTTAGTCCCTAAACCCTATACTTGAAGGTTCATGGTACTTATTACTTATGAGCCATTATTACTGTACTTATCACCCAAATGATAACCATATTAGGGCACGAATCCTAACACCCAGTCCTAAACACCTAAACTTGAAGCGTGCCTGCCTTCCCTAGCAGCCGCGTGCCAGCAAAGTATCACAGCCCTCATCTGGTCCTTGCCACCATGCCTTCCACCGCCACCAACGTTGCCATGGCCGGCGTCGGTGCCTTCGCGGCAGCGGGTGCCTTGAGCGGTGCCTTCGTGGCGCCTGCGGGCCAGGTCCAGCGCAGTGAGCCCCAGACGCAGAGGACCAACCTCCGCGCGGCTGGCTATGGCTCCTCTCAGGCCGCCGGTGTCGGCGGCATGGCCGGCCTCGGTGCCGTGGCTGGCCTGGCCGCCGCAGGAGTGGCTGGCAAGCGCGCCAGCAAGGGACGCACCTCCCTCCAGGCCGTGGGCGTGGGCATCAACGGCTTCGGCCGCATCGGTCGCCAGGTGGCCCGCATCGCCATGAAGGATCCGGAGACCGACTTGAAGTTGATTAATGCAAGCTATGACGCAGACTACTTGGCCTACATGATGAAGTACGATACGATTCATGGCAAGTATGATGGAACTGTCGAGGTCGATGGCGACTCCCTGGTCATTGACGGCCAGACGGTGGCACTGTCCCACACCCGTGACCCTGCAGAGATTCCCTTCAAAGAGCATGGTGCAGAGTACGTGTGCGAGTCCACGGGAGTGTTCCTGACCACCGACAAGGTGCAGCCCCACTTGAAGGCCGGTGCCAAGAAGGTGATCTTCTCCGCTCCTGCCAAGGACGACTCCCACACCATCGTCATGGGCGTGAACGAGGACACCTATGATCCGTCCATGGAGTGCGTGTCCTGTGCCTCCTGCACCACCAACGGCCTGGCCCCGGCAGTCCGCGTCCTGCAAGAGAAGTTCGGCATCAAGCGCGGCCTCATGACAACCTGCCACGCCATGACCGCCTCGCAGCCCACCGTGGATGGCACCTCCAAGAAGGACTGGCGTGGCGGACGTGCCGGCCCGGGCAACATCATTCCCAGCTCCACCGGTGCCGCGAAGGCAGTGGCAAAGGTCCTTCCGGCTGTGAAAGGCAAGCTTACCGGCATGGCCTTGCGCGTGCCGACCATCGACGTGTCCGTGGTGGACCTCACGTGCGAGCTGGAGAAGGAGACCACCTACGAGGAGATCTGCGCCGAGATGAAGAAGCGCTCCGAGGGCGACATGAAGGGCTACCTGGGCTACACCGACGAGGCCCTGGTGTCCACGGACTTCGAGACCAACCCGATCTCTTGCACTTTCGACTCCAAGGCTGGCATCATGCTGGACCCCACCTTCGTCAAGGTGGTTTGCTGGTACCTGGGGTTCATTATGAATCAGGCAGAAGTTTGGTGAAGGTCTGCGGGCCTTAATCCTTGTATAACCCCATATAGCCCCTTTTTCTGAAATTTGAGTTTGTATATGAGGCCCACATGTATAAGGTACGACAACGAGTGGGGCTACTCCTGCCGCGTCGTGGACCTGATCAAGCACATGGCCAAGGAGGATGCCAAGGCGTAAGCTGCCCATCCGAAGCTGCAACTGTTTAAGCTCATAAACCTGAACCTGAATTCAAGCCCACTAAACCCTTAACCCTGAACCCTCAACCCTCAACCCTAAACCCTAAACCCTAAATTGTAGCACAGATGCTCCCGGTTGATGAAATCAACCTTTCTTGACGTCTCCAAGCTCATTTTTCCCCCCGCGCCGCCAACCAACGCGACTTGCCTTGCTTGGCAAAACACGTCCGGAGCTGCATTCAGAAGGAATTAGGAGGGTGTTCGGAAGAGGGGCATAAGGCCCTCTTTGGGGAATGTTTCGGAGCTACACGTAAGCACACGCGCTCTTGAGTGACTTTTGCAGGAGCCCTGGGGGCAAGAACAGTGCAGAGTATTGCATGAAGGAGGATGCCAAGGCGTAGGCTGCCTTTGGCCTCAACTGTTTAAGAAGATGCAAAGGTAACTTGAAGACAAGCAAGCACCTCCACCCCTATACCCCAACGCTACCTTAAGCACTCATGAGCCCTGCCTTCCTACATGGCTCAAGACCACGCCCTGAACCTAACCCCCGAAAGGCCCTAAACCCTAAACCCTAAACCCTAAACCCTAAACCCTAAACCCTAAACCGGTGCACCTTTTTCCAGCCCATGGTCAGCGAAACGGTACGACCCTTTCTGTCGAGTGCGGTCCCCCCAGGTCTACGTAAGCTTTGTTCTTTTTTTTTTGGGGGGGGGGGGGGATGTCCCCCCCCCCCCCCCCTTTTTACCAACAGTCCTTAGTAAGGATGATAATTTCCCCCTGATACTAACAGTTCTCAGTAGGGATTGTAATTTCCCCCTTATACCAACAGTATAGTAGGTATTATAACCTTATACTAACAGTCCTTAGTAGGGCTGATAATCGGGGGTACCAGAATCCCTATTCAGGACTGTTCGTCGAGGGGGGGAAACATCCCAATTGGTAGAGATGGGTGGCTCCTCCCCCCCCCGTCAAACTTGCCACAAAGGCCCTCGATAACCTGCGGAACCACGCGCCGAACATGAGACGCAAACGAATGGCCGAATCCATGTAAACGCCCTTAGCTCCGAGGCCCTAAACCTCAAAACCCTGAAATCCTAAAAGCCCTTAGTACCCTACTGTACAAACCCAAAAAACCTTAATCACCCTACAAACCCTACAAACATTCAAAACCAAAGAGCCCAAAGAAAGGTCTTGGACAAGAGCCCCCCCTACAAACCCTTAAAACCCTAAAAACGCCCTATAACTAACAAAGCCCCTAAACCCTAAAACAACCCTAGCAAAGGCCTAAAAATGTCCTAAACAAAGCCCTTAAACAAGCCCTAAAAAGCCCTAAACTCAAGCCCCACAAAAGCCCTTAAAAAGCCATTAAAAAAGCCCTAAAAACCCTAAAAATCTTGAAAAAAACCAGGTCTTGGACAAGAGCCTCTTGGGCTGCTGTCTACCCAGACAGGCAGTCGCCCACGACTTCGCGCATCTCAAGTTCGCATCTCGCCTTGCAAGTCTTCCTGCTAGCTCTTAGGTTTAGGGTTTAGGGTTTAGGGTTTAGGGTTTAGGGAGCCAGGGTTTAGGGTTTAGGGTTTAGTTTAGGGTTTAGGGTTTATCCTTGTAGTAGAGTAGGTAACCTTTTAACCTTTTTGGGGTAGTATAATCCCCTTATAATCCCAAAGGTTAACCTTTAATTCTCCCAGGTTACTGGACAACTAGGTCTTAGAGTAGGGTTTGGGGTTTAGGGTTTAGGGTTTTGAGGCTTAGGGTTTAGGGGTTAGGGGTGAAGTCCATACAGTTGGAATATGGTTTTTGGGACGATTGGTGCTGGGATTGCCGTTAGTAACCCTCTTGGGGGTATGAGGATGATGTTGCTCCAACTTTGGGAGTTTCCCGTAGGGGAAAGAGGGAATTGGTTACCCTACATCAGGGCCAGAAGGTACCTATTTCCCTCATTTCCTACCAACAACCAGCAAGTCTTGGGGGGTCCCGAGGGTCATGTCTAAGACTATAGTACTTTGTGCTGTCCGGGTTCTATTGCAAGTAAGGATGCTGATTTCTTGTCCAGCTGTTTTTTTTGGGGGGGGGTTCCGAAAATAGGGGGCCCCTTTTCTAGCCCCACAAAATATTAGGATTCCCTCATCATAAGGACCCAAAACTATAAGGCACCTCCGAATATCGGAAGCCCCCATATGGGGAGATTTTGGAGCCCAGCAGGCCTAGAGAGAGACAGAGTGCACCAAGTCTGGCGTTTAGGGCTTCATCTAGGGGCCTGAAGAGTTCGAATAGGGCTTTGGGGGTTGTCATTCCTAGTAGTAGAGTAGGTAACCTCCAACCTTTTTGGGGTAGTATAACCCCCTTATAATCCCAAAGGTTAACCGTTTAATTCCCCCAGGTTAGGACAACTAGGTACAGGGGCCTGAAGAGTGAGAATAGGGTTTAAACCCTAAACCCTAAACCCTTTTTGGGGGGTTCTTCTAGTTCGAAGCGAAGCGAGGTGAAGACTGGCATGGAGTCCCAAGGACACCCGTGCTTGTCGGGTTGGTCCTTGAGGCGAGTGGCAGCTTCAGCGGGGATGTGGCACCCTGAATCTCCCTAAGCCCTAAAACCAAAACCAAAGTTCGAAACACTAAGCCCTAGACCTTATATTGGTTGGTGGTCTCTTTAAGTAGGGTTTCAGTTTTGTGGCGGGGGTTCTTGTTAGGGTGTCTTGGGTCTGTATTAGAGTATAAGGGTAACAGATAAAGAGGCCACCGGACTTTATAGCCTAGACCCATGTAGGCGAGCTGGTGGTCTGTAACCCAAAACATGTGTCACTTCGTAGCAGCTCCCAGAGATAGCTGGGACAAGTAGGAAGAATGAAAACCTCAAGTCCTGCAACCCATCTCGAGATAGGATTCTTCACGTGACCAAACCCTAAACCCTAGTGTTTTGGGGACCTAGCCCTAAACCCTAAACCCAAAAAGTGTGAGGATGTTCCAAAGCCAGGCCACTGTGTAGGGAACCGAGTCCCAGAAAGCTCCGAAGCCCATCGGACGTATGGGTTTAGGATTTATAGGGTTTATAGGGTTTAGGGGTTTAGGGGTTTAGGGGTTTCGGGGTTTAGGGTTTAGGGTTTAGGGTTTAGAGTCCTCGCAGACACCAGATCCCGTGCATAGGTGTTTCGGTGTCTGCGGGAGGTTGCTGAGGGGTTTGAAAGCAGAGTGCGTTCCTGCTTTGTTCGCCCCCCATGGCGTGTTTTGTAGAGGCAAACCCTCAACCGCGGAGGGTAACCCTAACCCTCGAACAGCCCTGATAGCCCGGAAGCTACACTCCACATCCCGAAGCAAAACCGAAAGCCTGCAACCCTAAACCCTAAACCCTCCGAGCCAACTTTCCCGCTCCCTTAAAGCGCTCTTGGCCAGTAGTAGAGTAGGTAACCTTTAACTTTTTTGGGGTAGTATAATCCCCTTATTATCCCAAAGGTTGACCTTTAATTCCCTCAGGTTATTGGACAACTAGCTTTTTGAGGTAGTATAATCTTCTTATAATCCCGAAGCTTAACTTTTAATTCCCTCAGGTTACTGGACAACTAGGTTGGGGGACGGGGAGAGGACGGAACTTGCCCCGGTACATCCCCATCGTTGAGGAGGCTGGCCCTGTGGGGGCTTCGGGGAGGTTTAGTAGTTACTGCATTGGGTTTAGGGTTTAGGGTTTAGGGTTTAGGGTTTGCTGTAGTATAGCGCAGATGCGTGGAGGTTGGGATGCGGAATAGGCTCGAAAGCTTCGTCAGGTGCGAGGAGCAGCTCTTGCCCGATTGTGGAAGGTCATCGAACACCTTTCTCCCACGCCACACCATCCATGGCGGCAAAGCCACTCCAAACCTACTACTACTACTCCTTGTAGGATTCAGGCCGAAACTCAAGTCAATTGCCTACATGCAAAACCTTGTCCGGTAGCTTGTTGAGGGTTTCCTTCAAACAGTTGTGATCCGACTGCACGCAGTGAGGGCGTCGGGGTTTTAGCTTGCGCCATCGAGATCGAAGGGCTGAACTGCCGCCACCTACTGCAGGGGCGGCCTAGGTCTTGAGTTTAAGGTATTGTTTCAGGAAGTGTTGTGAGAGTTGAGGGTTTTAGGTTTAGGGCTTCGGGGTGTGGAATTTCAGGTTTTCCCTTTAAATCGTTTCAACCTTAGACCCGAAACCTTCTCACCTAAACCGTAGACACTTTAACCCCTTACAACCCTCAAACCTCTAAGCCTCTACATCCTTGGCACGGCAGATCCCGCACAAGCGCGACAAGAAGCTCCTCCTATTGGGCGCTGTGGAGTGGGAGGCTGACTTAGGGCTTAGGAATTGCAAGGTGTTTAAGGTTGAGGGTTTTAAACCCTTCGGACGCAGAAGAATTACGGAGGCACGCCACGCTACACTCACTGGACACATGTTTTGACTTCATGACAGCAAATGTCCTTTTTGAAGCTCGGGCATCCGGTAGGTCCAAATTCTGAAAAGGGAAAGGTAAGCCTTTGTTTAGGGTTTAGGGTTTGCGGTTTAGGGTTTAGGGAGACAGCGGCATACAAGGTCTTTCAGTGACATTCAGCCAATGGCAAGTTTTTCGCCATGCGCTGACATTGTACCAGGTTTTCCGGGGTTTGGCGCTCGAATTTAGGGTTCCGGAAAGGCCTTGGGATAGTTTACTCCCAGCTGTCAACCCTGGATGCCCAGTAGAAACCCTAGAAGCCCCCACACCCTGAAGTTTGAAGTTTTCAGGGTGTAAGGCACGCCGCAAGGCCTCCCTAAACCCTCAACCCAAAATCCTAAACCCTAAACCAAGCCCTACAACCTAAACCCGAAACCCTAAACCCTAAACCCTAAACCCTAAACCCTAAACCCTAAACCCTGAACCTCAACTTGAAGGACCTTGAGCTGCTCCAGCAGCACGAAGGCTCATGGACCTGTTCTTTCGGGCACTCTTCGGGTTGTAAGGTTTGGGGTTTTGGGGTTTTGGGGTTTTGGGGTTTTGGGGTTTTGGGGTTTT